CTAACTCACTTATACAAATCACGCTAAAATACCTTACCATATTTTTGTTCAATGAAGTCATTTTTCTTTAACCAGATCATAACCATAATGATATATTAGGTATATTACCGTAATATACTTAAAGCTTATGGTGATCTATTAAAACGTCAGATAAAAAATTTAAAAACAACAAAATTTTCCATGATTAGTCCTGCATAAAACATTATCAAGGTCATTGACCTGACTGGCTACACAGCATTTTGTTTAGTGTAAAAATATATCTTAACTTATAAGGAAGTGCGGGTTCAAATAATCAACAACACAAATTGTCCTGTTTGAGTCACAGCGGTAATGTTGTTTCCAGTTGAATTGAGTTTTACTTTCAAACACTTGTAAGAAGATTCAGCTTGAGGCATGATCGAGTGTCTGCGATATATATATTACAATAAGGAAGAAAAATATTGACCTGAGACTGAAATACTACACCAGCTTTATCCCATTCTTCTGATCAACAAAAACAGAAGATTCATATCTATCTAATTGGCTGTATTACTTTTAGAAAAAGAGTGGATAAAGATGTGTATATTAAATACTTTTAAATGACTGTTAAACCATACACGTCACCAAAAAACAAATTAATTTGTACAGATATATTGTATATGCTGTGTTCATTCAATTTTGATGTCTGAAAATAGGTCCATCATATATATTCCTGTTCATAGAAAAGATGTGACTCTATGTTATCTTATTGTGAAACAATAAGCCCACTACCTGACTTTGAAATTAAGAATGAATTTGTATGTTGACATGACCCTGGACTTATTACAGAATAAATTTGTATGTTGGTCTGACCCTGGGCTTATTACAGGATAAATTTTGTATGTTGACATGACCCTGGACTTATTACAGGATAAATTTGTATGTTGAGACCCTGGACTTATTACAAGATAAATTTGTATGTTGACATGACCCTGGACTTATTACAGGATAAATTTGTATGTTGGTCTGACCCTGGACTTATTACAGGATAAATTTGTATGTTGGTCTGACCTAGGACTTATAACAGGATAAATTTGTATGTTGGTCTGACCCTGGACTTATTACAGGATAAATTTGTATGTTGGTCTGACCCTGGACTTATTACAGGATAAATTTGTATGTTGGTCTGACCCTGGACTTATTACAGGATAAATTTGTATGTTGGTCTGACCCTGGACTTATTACAGGATAAATTTGTATGTTGGTCTGACCCTGGACTTATTACAGGGTAAATTTGTAACGGTAATATGATAAGTCAACTATAAAAGCCTCCTGGATGTAAGAATTTGATCTGATTAATTGATTTGACATAATCTTGTTATCTAGTGTATATCACATATATATAATGAAATTTTTTTCATTGGCTGTGCCAGTCAGAAATGGATTCTGAACCCATGATATTGACAATGAAAGTATGTCATGAATTGAAAATAGTGCATCAAGATGGCTGCCTCTGTTTGATTTATAGTCATCAACATTTACGCTGTAACAAAGCCCTGACAGAATTGTAACTTTTCTCAAATATGTTAAATTTGTTCTTATTTCATATATTTCACAGAAATTGTTTTGATGTTTTAAATTTTGCTTATCACGGCTTCTCACACTTGTTTAATAAAATCTTGTATCAATGCACATTTATTATCCTTTAGTAGTTTCCACACTGCAGCTATACTTAGCTTCTCTATTCATCAAACCTTCTAATCTGACCGCTATGTATTCTGACATCCTGTCCAATAATCCAACAAATCATGGTGTGCTTCATAGTGATTAAGTAATTAGTAATTAATATCTAACTGATTTAGTGTTGTTTCCCTATATCGTAAAGGTTTGATGACAAAGTGTATTGTCTGTTACTCATTTAATTTCTCCTTCACCTACTAGTATACAATGCTGTCTACTGTGTAGCAAGACTAGGAATGATCCAATTCAAAAACAAAGGATCACAAGACATCGGAAAAAGTCTGAAATGCCAGCTGGCTCCAGACAGTCAGATTCCACTGAAACTTCTAGCCCAGCAAAACCTTTTATTTTCTGTATACTAACTTTACAGAATTATATGAACTAGGCATTGTTACCTTTAATGATGCCTAATGTGTGTCTAAACAGCTTAACTGTTCACAAACCTTTTGTTTTTGTTTTTGTCTCTAAGTACAGATGTACAGTTGGTGTATGTTAGGGGAATCGAGACAGAACAAAGTGAAAAGTGTCCATATTTGTCCAGGGATTTGAGAAGTGACAAAATGATAAAAGTACTGCAGACACACTAATTATCTTGGTACACTGTACCTAACACTATCTGTGGGGACATTATTAATGAGAGGAGAGAGATAATGTATCTTTTTGTGACACACCCAGATATACAGGACACAAGAGAAACACAAGAGGTTCTTTAGCTCACAATGGATTTAAGGTAAGCTTGTCTGTACATTACAGAGACATGTCTTCCAACTTTTGGAATATAAGCAGAGGAAATAAATATCATGACTTCCAAATATCTTTTTTTCTTAACAAATTTGTATTACAGATATTTTGTCTTGTTCTTTCGCAGTTGAATACACTGAATCTTTACAATTGTGAGCAATTCAAAAGATTCCCCAATAACTTGATTAATTTGGTATCAGAAAGTCTTATTTCTTAGGGTTGGCAATTTCTTTGATTTCAGCTGTGGGGACTGCAGGACTTTAAGTACAGTTGTGAATGTTAGTATTATACTCACATACCGATGTGAAAGACTGCAATATACAATATTTTGGAATGGCAACATTATGATGTCAATCAAAGGGTGTGAGATATGGTCAGCTAGTATATTAGGCCAAGACACTACTTATTAATATCATATCAATATGCAGAGATAGTTAGATACCTAACAGAATTTCAAAAACAGGACATGCTCAGATTACGGTTATTGAAATTAACTATGAAATGTATCTAAGGTTTTTTTTTTTCATGTACCTTCAGGATTTCGCATCTCCTAATGCATGTTAAATAGACTGAACAAGATGCCTGAAAATTAAGTGGATTTCTATTTTGCATGCATCACACTGTTACTGCGACTGTTATTGAAATTAACTATGAAATGTATCTAAGGTTTTTTTTTCATGTACCTTCAGGATTTCGCATCTCCTAATGCATTGTAAATAGACTGAACAAGATACTTGAAAATTAAGTGGATTTCTATTTTGCATGCATCACACTGTTACTGCAACTGTTTACTTTAAACCAGGAGATTGTTCCCTAAATCCACCGCCAGCATTCTACAGAATGCAATGACTCGGAGTGATTTGTTTGAAAGTAATCAATTATCTTTAATCTAAGAACTAAATTCTAAGCAAACAGTACCAGTATAACAATAATTTGACACAATATGAGTCAATTCCAGGTCTGTAACATAATAAATTTATCTCCTAAAAAAAATGCCCTTGATAACAAAAAACATTTTCGACTCAGAGCTGGGGTGGATTTATTACCAGTCAATGAGAATGTATTTGTTTTCTTAAATGAATCTGATTATGGGTGGGCTTATTACCAAACACTGCGTTGCTTGATATAGGAGAAGGAACATGAACCCAGACAACAACAAAACAGAAAGGAAGACCATTAATATGTACACTTCCACAAAATCTCTGGCACCTCCTCAAATCAAATTCTCACTTTTTTATGATGCTAACAAAGAAAAAAATTAATTATAAGCTATTAGTATATGTATCAAAGCAAAGCTGAACATCACGATTCATGATAATTGTCACTTGAATTTTTGTCTCAAAAATTTTCCTGTGCTATGTTTCAAAGAAATAATCCTTCTAACCACAAACCGGGATGACTAATTCTTCCAAGTCACCCACCACTAAATTAATCCTAATTATGTGTTACTTCAAATGAACATATGTACTGTGATACAGAAGTAATAAGTTATTGGCAGCTATAGAATCTCAACCAATTAACCAGTACAGAGTATAAAACCTAACATCCGGGGAAATCCCTGTTTCAACCTGGAATTTTGTAAATGAGTCAAAGAGCTGTGGTCTCTTAACCTCTCAATGTCTGTGGTTTACACATAGCTATGACTGCACAAAGCATGTGTACAGACACAGGTGTACCAGTTTCTCATAGCTTGCCACACGGAACAAAATCTAGTCAAATTATACGTTACATACTTCAAGCTATATCACACATGTAATCAAAGTCAGGTTAATATTCTGTGAAAACAAAAAAAAAGTAGATTTTTTGTCTGTTGAATCATGAATCATTTGAATGTTGAAGCATGAAGCATGTTTTTGTAAAATATTTTTGTTAAGAAAAACAAATTTACTGGATAATTATGACTGTACACAGACTGTTGGCTGAGGCAGATATACAAAAATCTTTACAGACAAAATGTGAAGAATATGAATCAATGTTACTGAGCAGAAAATAAATCACTTGATGTTTCATTAGAAGAAAATAAATCACTTGATGAAGGCACAGAATGGCCTTTCTCCATTATCTCTAGGTGCAAATATTGATTCCATGTCAGCCAGAAACGTGCAGCATGACGGCTCACATTGAATCAACCAATGTGAAAACATGTCATGCTTCACATACAGTGCATTACTGTAGATTTCAACCTGTAATTTTCAAGAGTCAGACAATCTAAAAACAAATCCCTTAAATATTGACCTCCTACAGTAAGCGATTTTAATGCTGTCAAATGAAAAATTTCAAACCCAAGAGAAAAAAAATCAGGGACAATAAAAGTCCCTGCTGTTGTTCGAGATAAATTCAATGACAAATAATTAGTATTAGGATTGAGACTTGTCAATAGTCATATTGTACAACATTTATAAGAAGTAATTATATGACTGGTATTGCACATAATACCTATTTGAAGGGCTTTAGAAAACATGTCCTCCAACCTCACGCTATCCATTCTAATAATCATATACCTGATGTTAAATAATAGAATTCTGACCAACAATTAAATTCTTAATGATATCTAGACTGACCTGTGTCTTGCGGTGGCTGCTGTACATTGAAAGGGGCAAGGAGCTTACTTCTCTTCTTGTCAAACCCTTTTTGAGTTATGTCCCCTGAAAAGAAAATGATAAACATTATAAAATATGCTGATACTAACAAAAAGATGACATTAGTAATCTGACTGATTTATATGTAAAGTCACAAACATTCATATAAAAATTTTAAGTCAGTGTCTGATCACTAGTACTGTCCAAAGATAATTTCAGTCGGGATAATACAGCACAATGTAAAACATACACAAAGCTTTGCCTAAGTTGATTTGCTTAGACAATAAAAATATCACAATGGACAAAATATGACGTAAATGCCTTAAGTGAGAATTGTCAGCTGCCTGATTAGAGAGAGAAACAATACAAAAAAAGAAAAGAAAGAAGTCTAGGTATTTAATCAACCATCAACAATGTTTTTGGTTCATTAGATTTACAACAATACCCTTTATTACAGACTTTGAGACAATTATGCAGGAGTTGTGTCCCTTGTTCTGGTGCCGACACTTATATTGAGGATATAATCACCAGCTTGGTCAGTCCCGAGATAAATTAATTACAGATTGTTTCTCTGGTTGGAAATCACATCAATCTGGCAATTAACCTTTTGTCAGGCTTTCTTACTCTACTCAATCATTACCAACCAGATCATATTCAGAAAGTGAAACATTCTATACCATCACAACTAAGATAAGCTACCAAACTGACCAAAAGACTAATGAAATGTGTATAGATCACCAGAAGATGAACTAGGAATTAATTACTAGACTATACTCTGTTCATATATGAAATGAAAAATATTGCTGAAATGGTATTGGATAAAGATTTAGTATCAGAACCAGATTTGAATTACTCAATTAGAAAAAGAATCATCGGCTTCACTTGGGAGACAGTTTTAAAGTTAAATGGCATATCAGAGAAAAATTTGAATATTGGAAACATAATTGAAGTTTCATTCATAAATGTCAATTCTATAACTCAGAATATATGTAAATTTTCATCTGATCGGAGTCAACTGAAAATGTTAGAAAAAAATGACCTATTTTATGTGTTGTGTTTAATGTCCTTTCATTAACACACACATAAATAAGGGAAGTGTTGAATATTACATTGTCAGTGTCATCCAATACAAAAACACTGCTGTTCAATTTCTGGTGTAAGCAACTACCCTATACTTAAATATCAAAAATCAATATAATCCTGTCTGTAATGTGAATCAGAATTGATTACCATTATCTGTTTCATTATAGTGGTCTATGATGTTCAAGCCTTGTTAGAATGTACGAAATAATTGTGATACATCAAGCATGTCAAAATCCAATTCCCAACACAGTATGCAGCCGAGACCAAAATAATGTGTATTCCTGTCTAACTGTCTACCAAAAGCCTTCCATTATTTGACCTGTAGCAATACTTCAGCGGATCCTACAGATATATGAGGAGATGATCACATAAACATGAGATGATCACAGACATTGCAACTGGACATAATTAATTGATTGAGGCATATGGCGACATCATTCATGGTTAGGAACACAGGAATAGAGTTGATAAGTATAAATGTAGTCGATCTGGTATTGAAAACAACCTCTAGCTTGATATATAACTTTAAAAAAATTGAACATCAAAAACTCTTTGGATCATTCCAAAGATATCACAGTAATTGAGGACCAAAATCATAGCAAACTTTAAACAGGCTGAAAGTCCCAACTGTATTTTTATCAACATGTGTCATCCATTTTAAAGAGAGCCCAGCAATGTTCCCACAAAACTCTGCCGAAACACAAGCTTGCAAAATAAAGTGAAATGTACCACAAACCAACCAGAAGATAAATTATATCTTTGTTTCGATCAAAGACATAAGGATTAAAAGCATCACATTTTTATGGTGGTACGCAATGCAGATACATTGAAAAGGTATCTCCCAAATGTACTGCTCGCTACTGGAAAAAAGTTTCAGTGAATTCTGTTGCCTTCGATATATATCATTATAACATTTAAAGGTATATTTCAATCCTCTGACGTAAGTATGTAAATAAATCCCAAGGTTTCCATACAATTTATAAGACTCTTACATTAAAAACATTTTCTTTTTTTCCAGATCAGATTAGTGTGGGAAATTTACATTCTATTACTCTGCTAAGATTTCGTCACCAACACTAAATGTGTGTGTATTGTGTAAACCTATAACTGATAGTTTACAGTTCAACAGAGCATCATATCGTTGGCTATTAATACCACAATACACTGCTGGCTTACACATGTGTAATTTGTAACCAACTTATTTACCCAAACAGTAAATATCATTGCATCTTTGATAGACAAAACATTTGACCATGACCTTTGAGAATATAGAGGATTTATCTCCCCTGTGTTGTTTTAATAACCTTTGGCAAATTAAGATATCAATTAATAGATATATAGGTATATATATATATATAATCCAAGCTTTGTGGTGTGCAACACACAGTCCACACACATTAACATATATTATTCTAATCACCATAAACTTTACCATTTTTACATATCAGAAATTTTAACAGATAGATATGCAGGTTTCACTATGTAGTAGTCTATTTTGTACTCACTATATATTTCTGCTTTTCCACCATTAGTTCTATGCCTAGAATATTCTCCTTTGTAAACAAATCATTTTCAGTATACAAATTATTGTATTTAGCATGTTATATACTTACTCAATGTCATGGAATGGGGCGTATTACCGGACAAAGGAAAAAATATTCATTTGTAAATAACTGGACAGCAATAGCTAGTTATTATCATGTATGGTTCAATTGATGATAAATACTGTGCATTTCATGTGCGTTATGGTATGGGTACAAACCAGACATACAAACTATACTAGAAAAGGTGATCTGTATTATATAAATGATAGATCCAAACTCTTTCCTTGTTATAGTGCAACTCATGTACCTGTGATTTGAATGAAATTAAACATCTGTTTAATGAAGCCATAAAATCACAGTCTTTTATTAAATTGCTTTTCTATGCCAAATTTCCATTTTATATGAGTTTTAAACTCTCACATTCATAATGAATCATGAAGTTCAATTCTGAAGAGTTATATGATATTAACTAATTTGAGCACTGCCATTTACCAATATTCTGTCCATCTGCTTGACATGTATTTCATATCATTCCATCTATTATAGGTTAGCCTTAGCACATTTGGCACATAACAGCATAACTGATTGACAGCAATTTTGTGGTTTTCTCACACAGGAGAGCTCACAAGTATATGATCAATGCAGTAGTGAATGAATCATGATTCCTTCTCTCGAGAACCTGACCCCCTCCTCACCTCATCAAAAAAGAAAAGCACATTAAGCTGACTCCACCATATATTTTGACAGAACATTTTTCGCTATCAAATCTGTAAGATTTTTACCACTTTTAACAGAGGAACTGTTTGATAGCCGAGTACTATCAGGATTTGGTTGTAAAGAATGAGTCATTAAGAGCAGCATGCAGACAGATATTACCAGTAGATAATACTTTTCTATACTGTCTACATTCCTTGACACCTCCCTTCCCCCTCCCTCCCCCTCTAATACCGTATCTGCAGCATGAAACATAATTCTAGTTATCCTTCAAATATTCCTGTCTAGTTAAACAGATATCATATCTATGTACGTGTATGTCCATTAATTTAGCATTACACGAATAAAGTGAACAATTTGAATTTTTTAACAAAAAACTTGTCATATTTTATCGCAAAAGTTTAATTACCCTTATCATATCATTTCTGTCCTTTTAATTGCAAGGCCTTGACCAACTCATCCTTTATATCATTTAACAGATACTTCAGTGATCGGTATGCATTATTGAAAACATATCACAACTACATTAATGAAATATTGGTAGGCCAACCGAAACATGTAAGCCAATAAAATCTAAATCCACCGAATCCCACACGCTGGTGCTCCATCCTTCATCTTGTTGTAAATGAAATATTAGTACAACGTCATAACCTCTGATCAACATTTTAACAAGAACAATGCCAAATAAGGTGAAAAACAAGATCAGAGTGACTGAATATGTATCTAAGATATATCTACAGCAGATCTAAATTGTAACTGTCTAGGAATCCAACAGATCTTTAAGCTTTTGTTTGTCTCAATCTGATATGCATATAAATTATTGACTATGATACATATACATTTTAACTCCACCCCATTACATCATGATTCAAAATAGCAAAATGATGCAGACAAATGACCTTGACTGCATGGAACTAGACAACGATCTATTGTCTGCTGTTGTCAAGATAAGATGAGCCAAGCACATGTTAGACTGAAGCCCCCTAACAACATTCCAATTTATACGAAATGTAGGGCAATGATAGATCTTCTGGTAACAAGGCATCTGTACTAAAACATCTGCAGCACGATGTTTGTCAGACTTTAAATAAACTTTGATGCACATAATCTTGCAAGCTTGATCTAAAATATTATCAGGGGATATCATAATCTGCATTAAACTGAAATTTGTGTAAAAGTTTCCTGGTGTCAATCTTACAATGCTGGTACATAAGAATTTATGATGTAAGTTAAAGGATTGATTTTAAGATGTAAAAGGACAACAAAATGACTTCAGTCAATAAATTCATCAATCTGGAACAGAAAATTTAATAAATCTCTGAACATGAATACTACTGATTATCTGCATTTAACAAATATTTTCATTTTTAACATTGGAAGTTCCAACTACAGTGTTATACATGTTGCCAGTCAGTATCACCTCAAATAGATTAACCAATTCTCTTATGCTTTATTGTGCAAAACATAAGTTCCAACGGCAGAAACATCATTATTCTGATAACACAGATATATGCAGTAAGGAAATAGATTATATCAACTCACTGAGATGTATGTTGATGTCTTTGTCATGTCTTAATGCACAAGAACTATACAATGTACCTGTTTACATGCTGCATTCCTAAGTCCCGAGGGTGATGATAATGGTGTGTGTCTATATGATTAACACATAACGAGAGAATCTGTCACAGGTACGTGTAAATACTTTGTATCTACCTGTAATTTTCC